TCTCAATGAGGGAAGACAATATCTGATACAACTGAGCTAGAAACCATTTGACGGTATAGAGGATTAAGAACATAAGAGCATAAGAGCATGGAAAATAGTTGAAATGAAACAAAAAATAAAACGAGTGAGAAATAAGGTTTGAGATGCTAGTTTGCTTGTAATTTGTCGGGATAATGACTTGAAAGTAAGCAACTTGCTATACACTTTGTACATATTTGGCACTTAACTTTTTTTGGTGCACATTTAACCCTTAAACTTGTATTTTGTTTAAGTTCAACCTGTTTTGAGGGGTTTCAGTTTTACCTCCGACGACATTTTCGATGTTCCTTAAGTCCGGCGACATCTCCGGTCATCTCCTCCAACCACAACAGATCTGGAATTGCATTTTTGAGTTATTGAGTTTCTAAAATGGAGTTGTTTGAGCATCTTGTTAGGAAATTTGGTTTAAATGCTAAAAAATCAAAAACAAAAACAAGTTCTTGAGTTCATGTAACCAAGAACTCTAAATCTGCCATCTTTTACTAGAATAAATCGAGTTTTGAAGCTAGGGTTTTTGTGTGTTCATGTTTAACTTAGGGTTTTCATACAACCATGCTAGATCTGAATTGAAATCGAAATTCGAAGCGAGATTTGGAATTAAAATCGAAATCCGAAGGAGGAAATCGAACTCAAAAAACCTTAGGGTTTTCATGTGTTCAACATCATCTTCATCAACTTCGATTTTAGGAACACAACTACAAACAATTTCATCTTCATCTGTGTTCGTTTCTAGGAACGCAACCTGAACGATTTCAGGTTTCTTTAATTTCTTGAACGTAACCTAAATAATTTTTGGAACCCAACCTCGATTTGTGGTTTTCAATTTCGTCTTTGAGCTTATTTTTGTAGGTGTTCTAGATTCTTAAACGATTATTAAAAGAAAGTTTTTGTTCCTCTTCAAGATTCGAATTTTCACACATACACACACCAAGAACATGCAGTTGGGCGTGTTTTGTGAATTTGTGTTCAGATTTTTGTGTTTGGTTCCTTCAAGGAACACGATTCCAGATTTGATGTGGCCGGAGAAGATAACCGAGATAGGGATGAGATTTAAAACCAAAAATCGATTCGGAACCGTTAGAACCAGAATATGTAGAACCAACCAGGTTCGTATTTAAAGAATGACTTTATCTGGGTTTCGGGTCCTTCAGGTCCGGGTAAACCGGGTTTAATACCTGAGATACATATTTGGGACTCGATTATAGGGAAAACTATACTTTGACATGGTTAAATGTTGTTATTTAACCATCAGTTATAAAGGCCATTAACAGGTATGGTGTGAACTATAGGAGAAACCTATGTAGTCAATATGGGATTTGTTCCTCTTATGTTTTGAGAGTTAGACATCTAACACGTGTTACTTCAATATGACCCAAAAGTGACAACATACTACCCTGAAGGAAGATCTAAGTAATAGAAAGCCAAGGTATCAACTTTATACCTCAAATAAGTCAGAAATGCAGCTCAAACTCTGGATCTACTAGCTTCCTCTTGAATCCCCAAGCTTCTCCTTCTTTCACAAGCTTCAAAATCACAAAGAATGCACAAAATGGCTCAAAACTCTCTCCAAAAGTGGATTAGGGTTTCTTGGCTAGGGTTTGGGACGATGGAGGCTGTAAGTGAGGCCATCCATTGGAGGTTAAGGTGTTTAAATAGGGTACTAAACCCTGAAAATTAGGGTTTTATTCTGGCATCCCTACTCATCGCGTTGAGGCTCTCGACTCGACGAGTAGGATTTAAATCTTGCGTCCAAATTCCATTCCTACTCGATGAGTTTGGGCCTCCAACTCGTCGAGTTCATGTACAAAAATGAATAAATTGATTTAAAATACATACCCGGAACCGGACTCTACAAATCTCCCCCACTTATTTTAGACTTCATCCTCGAAGTCTGATGCGTCTGGAAATAGCTCTGGGTAGTGCTCCCTTATCTCATCCTCCGGCTCCCAAGTCCATTCTGAGCCCTTGCGGTGTTGCCATTGCACCTTCACTAACTCTACCCTCTTGTTCCTCAGATCCTTCGTCTTCCTGTCGAGGATAGCTACCGATCGCTCGATGTAGTTCAGACTGTCATCCACCTGAATATCCTCTAGGGGCACCACTGCGGAGTCATCCACCAAGCACTTCCGCAGCTAGGAGACATGAAAGGTGTTGTGGATCTGACTAAGCTCGGCTGGCAGATCCAGTCGATATGCAACCTTGCCCATCCGGGCTATAACCTTGAACGATCCGATGTATCTGGGGCCCAACTTTCCCCACTTCCTGGACCGGGTGACACCTTTCCAAGGTGACACCTTCAGGAGGACCATGTCTCCTACCTGAAACTCCAGGTCTGATCGACGTCTATCGACGTAGCTCTTCTTCCGACTCTGGGCCGTCTGGAGTCTACTCTGGACCTGTTGGATCCTCTCTGTCGTCTTAAGTACCACTTTGGTACTCCCCATGACCCTCTGTCCCACCTCACCCCAGCATATTGGGGTTCTGCACTTCCTCCCATATAGCATCTCGAAGGGAGGACGGTCGATGCTGGCGTGGTAGCTATTATTGTAGGAAAACTCTGCCAAGGGAAGGTAGGTATCCTAGCTACCATCAAAGTCTAGGACACATGCGCGCAACATATCCTCCAAGGTCTGGATGGTCCACTCACTCTGACCAACCATCTGTGGGTGAAAAGTCATGCTAAAGTGCAGACGAGTACCTAACTCGTCATGAAATATCTTCCAGAATCTGGAAGTAAACCGTACGTCTCGGTCAGAAATCACGGAAACTGGCATCCCGTGAC